GAATAAGCCATACACTTCGTGATATTCATCACTCCGTTCCTGGTATTAAAGATTTTGCCGTAGTAATAATGCAGATCGATTTCTAATTATATACTATACATACTGTATGTACTGTACGTACCGGTACTGTACGCGAAAAAAATTGGGCTATCATATAAACGGCACATCACTAGGCGTAGCCCAAACTATTTGAGAATGAGAAACAAATTTTTTTATTAAAAAGAAATAAAGTATCAACGGAATTACAAAAGTAACAAAACGGTTACTATCTTAAAGAATATACACTAAATAATCTTGAAGATTAAAATTATTTTGAAAATAAAACGGAGCATTTCCTAAAATATTTTGAATGTTTTCATCAGTAATATTAGGATGTTTCATTTTCAAAATTTCGGTTTGGTATTCTTGAACGAAATTTGATTTCTTTTCTATCCATTCGGATCGCAAATTTTCTGGTAACATGTTATATTCTGAAAGAGCGGTGTCGACGTCTTTACGTAGGAAAAATAACAAGTGAGATGAAAAATTACTGTGACGTATAGAAGGGTTCATATAATACCCCACTAGCTGATAGGAATCAACCGAATGAATTGCCATAAACAAATTCTTTTTTGGATCATTTTCCTCAAGATCGTTAAGAAATCTTTCTTCGAGTTCTTGATGACTAAAAATTTTATAAATTAAATAATGAAAAAAAGAAAATAAATTTTAAATATTGAAAAAAGTTAAATTTTAAATCACGAAACAAGAAACAAAATTAAATTTTATATTATACCTAATAAAAGCAGAAGCAATACATTGTCTGCAAATTTTAATTCTTAATTCGGAGATTTTCACCGGATCATTAAAATAGTTACCACAATATTGGCATGTTTTATACATATTGTTTAAACAATATGATTCCGCCTTTGTCAAATGACTTGGGAAATTGCAATTATAATATAATCGCCAAAAATTTTGATTGTAATAAATGTGAGATATTATAAATTCATTTGTAGTTTTGTCTACTAGTGAAAAAGCCAAAAGGGAATTTAAATCTAATTGAAAAACAATTTCTGCTAGAATTTCTGAAGTTTCGATGTCTTTCCATTTTTTTTTTTCAGTGATTTCCGTCTTGATAAAATCGGTAATTTTCGAAGATCCGGCTTCAACAGTATCTTCAATTGGATAAAAAAAAAAAAATCTTAATAATTATATTCTCAGTAATATAAACAGCTATTGTTGCTTACTGGAATCTCGTTTATATTTTTGATTATAATCTTCAAGTATTTTTCTAATGATTCTGTGTAAGTTTATCACTTCTTGATTCTTCACTTGAATTTGTTTGTCATTATTGAAATTGTTGCAAAGACCATTTAATGAATCATGTAATTCGCTATTTTCTTGTCTCAATTTCCTGTTCTCATCTTTTAAACTATTAAGTTCGTCTTGTAAATTTTTGATTTGTATCTGTAAATCATTAATTGCATTTTTAATCTGTTCAATTTCTTTAATACGAATTTCGTATTCTTCTTGAGATATTTCTCTCCGTCGAAGTTTACGTCCAAGGAGTTTCGAAGTGTCTTCTAGATATTGGTTTGTAACTTGTGCGATGTCACCCTTTTCTGAACGAAATTTGCGAGTATATTTTTTGAGCTTAGTTTCACGAGTCATTTTCGTTACCGTTTATTGCTTTAAGTTATGCTTTAACTACCTTAAATACCTGGTTGGTGGTATACAAATGGCACTATATAACCATGTGATTTTTACTAATTGAAAAAAAACGCGTAATGCTCAATTGTATTTTTATAAAGCGCATATATTTATTTTAAGATATACAAATTACTATTTATTGATGTTCAATACTACTGTATTATATGTTAGATAATAAGTTGACACAAAAATTGAGTCATGATTAGAACTTTTATTCGCAAATCCGTTTAAGCAAGTAAACATCAACTTAAGGCTATATGAATACTATATTTTTTATTAATACCAGATTTGACTTAAACGCTATATGTTTTTATCTTGTTAAATACTCTGAGTCATGATTTACAGATACACTTGATTAGTCAAAACTATAAATTTATAACTGACTCTTGTGGTAGTTCAGAGCAACGTTCCAATAAAATAAAATAAAATTTATTTCCTTTGCTTTTATGATTCGATGGCTTTTTATTTTTATTACTTCATTTACACTTAATATTTTGTTTCTTTATTATTTTTTATGACTATTTGAACATGGAAAATGATATTGGCTTTTTATATGTTTTCAAGACGATTGGTCAAAAAATTACGACTTATTTTATAACAAATGATAGCCGTTAATATGATTAACTAAAAATCAATAAACAAAATACAATGATATATTTATACATATCTTTGAATGCTTCTTGCCAGAAGCAAGTTATAGACCTTCCAATTTCTTACATTACAGGCATATACATGGGTATCAAATCACATTATTAGTTTTAACATGATCTACACGTGACTGCAAAATCAAATAATATATTCTTGTAAATTGCATATCAAATATGAATTCTTCAAAGCATTCTTCTATACGCAAAAATCCGCAGACTTGGAGAAGCTGAAGGCCTGCATAATCTCGGAAGATGCAGTACAATTTATAAATATATATCAATATATAATTTCTATTACATAAAACCGGAATTATTTATGAAACTCATATAATTTCTATTACATAAAACCGGAATTGTTTATGAAAATCATATCATTTCTATTACATAAAATATAGTTTTTATATTGGTGCCAAATTTGGCTTAAATACATAGCAATAGAGTTGTAAGTTTTAACAAGGGAAACCGTCGCACTTAGTGATGCCGACAATACTCTTGACAAAACCTGATAAAAATATAAACTAGCTACGTAATAGGTTTATACTGTTTAT